CTTAAAATAATGTTTATAGCGCCTTATAATGTTTTTTTTTTTTTTTTTTTTGGTGACGAGAGAAACTTGTAATTACTATACGAGAGTATGCACTAGGTAGGGATGGTCCTCGCTGGCCTGCCAAAGCCCGCCATTTTGACATGGCGGATTGTAATACGGCTCATAAAATTCAAATCCCGACCCACCTTTTTTGCTTGGCGGGATAGGTTAACCCGACGTGCTAAGTCCGTTTTGACGACTCTAATTCAAGATCAAAGGTCCAGATTAGTTTTTAGTTCTCATGTGGCCGGGCGGAGGGATTCTAATTCGATTATGAATATATATATATATATATATATATATATATATATATATATATATATATATATATAAATTCAAATCCCACCACCCTATTAGCTAGATTTACCATATTAAATATATTATACTATAGAAATTGTAAAAAGGTATACTGAATCATGTCCACATGCAACAGAGAAATAATAGTCGAATTTAATTAATAATCTCCATTTGGTGTGAGAAATTTCTCACAATTAAGATTATGTTTTTATAAATATATGGAGGGAAGTGCATGTTATTAATCATGTTCTACATTGATTAGCGGTGGGTTCATGTGATGACAATCTCTTGACTGATAACAAGACACCAATATTAATCATGCCACTACTTTCCACTAATTAATCATTTCTTGATTTTGATTCTTCCTAAAACCTAGTTAACAAAAATCATGTTCCCCCATAACTTTCTTGCTACTTCAAATGGATTGGCTTAAATTAAGGTAAGTTTAAAGGTATAGCTGATAATTTTTAACACGAAGATAATATAAAATCAAACATAAAAATAATGAGTTAGTGTTTAGTTGTTTTGATGTATCTTAAGTCATTAACATGTTTCACGAATTTTAAGAGTTATTAACGAATTTTGATCAATTCTAATATGTATTGTACTATATGTATGAAATCGATGCACATTATATACAAAGGAACTAATAAAGACGTGTTTATTAATTAGAGAAGTTTTTCATTTTTTTATGAAAAAAATAAAAAATGAGAGAAGTGAAAACGAAAAATACATTTATTTGTACAATATAAAAACATAAAACAAAGAACGAAAAAAAAAATAAAGAATTGAAATAAACACAAGCTAAACCTGGCGTCACCATTTCAAGTCCATACCTTAACATACAACCTATTAAAAGATTTTACACCTCAATTACCAATTCAACAAAATACGAGTGAACCATATACACCGATGACATATATTGTTGACATTCTTAACCCTAAATCAATTGAGTTGCCCATGATCTTGTGGTCAAATAAATGTCACCTGCCTATAACTTTAAATTAAAATATTATGACCCTATTTGGTAATATAATTAGTTTATCAGCCAATTTTGACTTATTTGACCACTATTAGCTGTTTGATTTGGTTAAACAACCAATATAAATACGTGTTTGATTAATTAGTTTTTTGTAACAACTTATTGCTTCAAAACGTTAAAATTCAAAAAACTGCTCAAAACAGCTTTTTCGATCAGCGTTTTGAGAAAGTCATTTTGCATATAACCAGCTAATTTATCAAACACCTTTCTATAATCAGCTAATGCTGTCAACTAATCAAAGTCACTAACCCAATAAGCAAACAGCTATTTACCAAACACGTACTCCTGATAATATTTGGAACCATAAAATTATATAAAATGTGATACGTGGGAGACATGCATGCGGTGCAAAGCAACAAAAACGACCCCTAATGGTATAGGGTAACATGAAAGTAGTATAGGAAAATGAATGAATCCATTTGAGCAGTTATAGAGAAGAAAAGTGAAAAGCTATCATCACCTGAATGCTCTCCTTAAATATAATCCCATACTTGTACTACTACGCTCAACATAATCTCATTATGATCTTTGTTAAGATTTTTTCCCCCTTTTTTTATTTATTGTTTTTTAAGGGGGTGGGGGGGGGGGACTTTTCTTGATTAAATTATTTTAATCAAGAAAAATTAATATTAAATAGTTAAATAAAAATACTTCACCGAAACTGCTAAAGTGCTAATTAATTAAGTACTCCATAGGTGTTAATGACTTATTGATCTAATGATAAGTTTGGTCACAGAGGTGAAATTTGAAAACAATGATTCGAGATTAAGTCTCACCAGCAGTAGTGTGTAGGAACAATCTCTTAAAAGTGTTAGTGCCCTTTCTATTTATATTGGTAGATATAATATATTTTTTATTAGTATTCAAAATTTCTTTATAACTGTATTTTGTACCCATCATAGCAATAAAAGAAAATAATAAAGAGTGGTACTATCTCTGAGAGACAATAATGGGGGACATGGTGTGTAGAAGAAAAATATATATATAAATAAATTATTAAAGGCGAAAAAAAAAATTAAAAAGGGGGGCATGATATATGATGCATATATAAACACTAAGGCACATGATTCTAATGATTAAACATGCTATATATGATATGATGATCAAATGAGAGTTGCAGTAAAAATTTAAGATTGGTTGGACCCTCCGATCTGACAAATAAAATCGAAGTCTTCGCATTATAAGTATACCACAATAATATGTTGTAGTCCAATTCTTTTAATTTATAACTCAAATAGCCTTGGACCTATATATAGTTTTTATTTAATTGTTCAATTTACATTATACTCCATATATATGTATGTGTTTCATTTATGGAAGAATTCACAATTGTTATCCAAAAGTGCGTTAGTGATGGAGCTTGCTTTATGACCTTAGCCGATAAAAGATCACAAAGAGGTAAACCAACTTAGATTTATCGGTACTTTGTGAGTAAAGCATGCCTTGTATGTTGTAACCTAGTCAGCAAAAGGAATGATCATAAGGAAGTAAACTAATATAAACTAGCATAAGTTTTTTTTATAATTGACCAGCTCATCAAATCAAGAAGACCAATATATAGCTTTATGATGAGTTGGATTTAAACCTTATGATTACCAAACTATCTGTAAATGCAAATGCTATCAATATATGATGAAGACTGTTGTGTGTTCTAAGTAAAATAAATAAACTATTGATATTATGAGCAAATAAAAGTTAAATCCGCTTTAATTTGTATGTGAAGGGTATTTATGGTGGTGTTGCATCCAGATGCTGGTTTAAATTTTGTTAATCATTCTTTTCAAAAGGTTGAACTCTAACCCTTAGGCCCCCCGCACCTAACTTGACAGAGCTAATTTTGTTAATCATTCACCATGAGTCGAAGGTTGGGACATGTTAGAGACAACTCTCCTCGTTTAAGTCAAGGTGTATGACAGAATAATTGGACAAGTACTAGATTTGACCCGAAGCACATTCAGACTAATCCGCAGTAGTCAAAGGAATTAACACATGCAGTTGGTAAGTGGTAACGGTCAAGAGTGAAGTTGAAGAGGTGGAACGGTTCTTAGAGTCCAATATCGCCTCATCAATGAGCGATTATGAGGAGAGCGCGCGACAATTACTAAGGAGCCCAGACACTTATGGGGAGGAGTCGTTGCACTTATTAGGAGGTCATTAGTACCTTTATTGTAGCCGTTACCATTGTACAATATAAAAAGCTGAATTCATGTAACAAGTGGGCGGACACATTCTGATTCTAGATTGAAACTATAGGCAATACAATGGATCTACTTCTTTCCTAATATACTCCGGTAACAATTTTACCGTCAGTGTATATACTAAAGAATGTTAATCTCAACTCATTGATTAGAAAAATATAAGCGTCGTGATATATTAGAGGAAGCTGCCTATTGATTTTCTTAATTTGAATTATTGATAAATTATGAATAACCTAGGTTGGTTTATTTTATTGTGATCTTTTGTTGATTAGAACATCCTCAATAGTGGGGATTTTATTGTGATTTTTGAAAAATTTTTGCAAGTGTGATTACGAAAGAGGAGATGGTAGGAAAGAGAATAAAAGAAAAAAAATAACAAATGTTGATTTTCAAAAAAAAAAAAGGTGAAAGACTGGCCAGCAACGCGCCCAGCTGGCACGTGCAATGCACGCGCCCGTTGGGCGCAATTGTAAGCTTCACGTGTGAAGTGTGAAAGTAATTATAAATTGGTACTGCACGCACTCGTTGGCTGCAATTGTAAGCTTCACGCGTGAAGCATGAAAGTAGCTATAAATTGGTCTGGATCCCACTATTATGAAAAACCGCCTAATTAACAGAGCTCTATGTTCTTCTCTCTCCTCATTATTACCCTTTCATGTTGGCAACTTTTTATTAAAACTTGTGCATAATTCTCTTATTAGGGATGCCCTTAAGAGCACAAAGCGAGATTCACCTAGAGTCCATTGTCCACATTCAAGTAATGACTTTTCCGTAAAGCTTCAATTCTTTCACCAATTTGGTAGTGTATGAGAATAAGAATAGTGGTCAATCAACAATTTGGTACCGGCTAAACCATCCAGGTTTACTTAGCCGGTTAGCTCAAAAGGCAGAATCAAACACTAGTATACAAACATTTTAAAAACTTTATAGATCGTTGAATTGCATCTTGCAATTTACTTTCTCCACTTAAATTTCTGAGCATAGATATCTTTAAAAAATCATTATTATTATTATTATTATTATTATTATTATTATTATTATTATTATTTTATGGGTACATAATCTCTGCTTTATGGTATTGAGAATTAAGAAAGGGATAGGGTGGGACAAGTTCAATGACTCACATACACCAATACACGTACTAGCTTAGTGTAGAATCCTAAGGCCAAAAATTGGGATATATCTCTCCTCTCCTCTCCTCTATATATAATCTCCAGCCTGCAATATTGCTCTCACCATTCACATTTCAGACACAAATATAAATTACACAATAATCCTTCTTCTTCACAAAAATCTAACTTTTCCTTATCTGTCAAACACTGACATATATCCCATCAATCTCTTTTGTTTATGCATGTTTATCCATTCTATATATAGTAAAAATTACTGAAATTTCTGAAGAATTGGAAGCTTCATTCATGGATATGACGACGAACAAGACCAAGTCTTCTTCTTCTTCTTCTGGAAAGACCAGAAAGAGCGCAAGCGGCAGTGGCCAGCAGGCGGAGCCGAGCGGATGCAGATATCTTGGCGTGAGGCGGCGGCCGTGGGGGCGGTACGCGGCGGAGATAAGAGACCCCAACACCAAAGAACGCCACTGGCTCGGCACGTTCGACACGGCTGAGGAGGCGGCGTTGGCCTACGATCGAGCGGCGCGATCCATGCGAGGGAAATCAAGAGCGAGGACTAACTTTGTCTACTCCGACATGCCTCCCGGCTCTTCCGTCACCTCCATTATCTCCCCCGATGAGCCGCAATACGCGGTGTACAATAACGACTTCCCGCATTTCCCGGGGGGTTTGTTTTCCTCCGCTCCCGGCCAAAACGGGGAGCAGCATTATCAGTCCGGTGGTAATGGTAACCACACTGGCGGCGCCGATCAATTCCTGTTCTTCGGCGGCGATCAGAGCGGCGGCGGCGGCGCTCTGCTGGATACCGGCGGTCTAAACGGCGGCTGTGAGTTCTTTCAGGATTACTATTGCGGTAGCAGTAACGGAAACGGCGTGGATGAAAGCAATGCCGCCATGGCGATGGCGGCGGAGCTGCCTCCTCTGCCGCCCGACATCACCACCAGCTGCAGCGGCGGCTACTTCGGCAGCGGCTTCGGCGGCGAAGCTACCAGCAGCGGTGACAATAATGCAGCATACACCACCGTTATGGGCGGAAGCGGCGACGGAGGAGTTTCAGCCTCCGCCGGATGGGATTTTTACGGATACGGCGGCGGCTCATCGGAGATGGCGATGCAACAACCGCAAGCTCCCCCCGAGCTACAGATGAGCTACGGTTCATCGGAATCCGATGGTATAAACATGTTCACGGCCAATTCTTATACTTTCTCATCTTCAAACAACTATGGCGGCTATTGGCTCTAATCTGGTGCGATCGAGTAATTATATATATATTTTTCATCATATCGTTTTCTTCTTCTCCGTTTCATTTCTCCGATCATTCCCGGCCGGCCGGCAACGAACGGTTTCTTGGATTGTTTAATAGGCTGTGGAGTTTGTCTATTTGATCGTTTTTAATGTAATTTGCATTTGCTGATGATGATGATGAGTGCTCATCGAACCTCAAAGGATGGTTCATATTTTCACACTTTATTTTGTATCTATCAAAATTTATATATATATATATTAATATTTGAATTTTGAATGAAGGAATATAATTCAGCATATAGATATATAGTTCACCTGTTGAACAATTGTCTTTTTATATTGGAATGTTCACTAAAAATTGTTTTGTTTTAATGAATTCAACAATAATTATTATTCTTTTACTATTAATGGAATGTTTGTAATTATATTGGTCTAATCAAATTGGTTTAATTCAACATATATTAGCTGATTTGGTGGAACATTCAACACTTGAAAACCCAACAAATCACTACAGGAAACCTAACAAGTGTGAATTGTAATTATTGCATTTTTAATTTAAACTATTGTACCCGCACGGGTTTAGCTCATTGGTTCAGTATGCATTACTTGAGAGAAGAGACCAATGGATGGTTCAGTATACACTATTTGAGAGAAGAGACCAATAGATGCCGCACGAGCTTAGCTCAATGGTTCAATATGCAGTATTATTTGAGAGAAGAGACTAATGGTGTGAGAATTATGAGTTTGGTTTAATTTTCACACTGTGACTGTCGATGTTCGAACTTTGGTCATCCATTGGTCTCTTCTCTCAAATACTGTATACTGAACCATCCATTGGTCTCTTCTCTCAAATACTGCATACTAAACCATTGAGCTAAGCTCGTGCAAATAACCCTCTCAAATACTGTATACTGAACCATTGAGCTAAACTCGTGCGGATAATCAGTGTATTGCTAATCAGATGAGTGATGAGTGCTCTCACATTCAACCAATGTGAGGCACTACCGTCAAAATTGTACCATACACTATTTTTATAGAAGAAAGATGTGTCCTAGTTGTCTCATGTAGGATAAAGCTCCACAAAATGTACAAAAATGTATACTAGACTTTATGTAATTTGTCTTATATTAGGGAGTAGTAGTTGAAAATGCTTCCTCGGTATAAAATACAGTTTTGTCTCTTATGTAATTACCTCTTACGATGCATGAAAATTTTTAACGACAAATGTTTTTATATTTCAGATACATTTTAAATTAAAAACTCACCGAAAACTTTCTAGAAATGTTTTGGAATAGTTTCAGTAATGTAGGTGTACTTTGTACTTTAGAGGTCTAATTATATTGAAAGAAAGGAAAAAAAAAAAAAAAGATTTTGAATAAAAACGTGAGTTCTTATTCCTTACTTTGCCCCTTGTAAATTCTTATATTTCTTTTATTGTGTATATATTTTCACACAATGACACAAGCTAGCAACGGTCTTGAACTAGAGGTACGAGAAACATGTTCTATCCATTTAATATTATTTAAATTTTTTACATTTTAATAACTGAAATAAATAATAATATGGTCACACATCGTCTCGCAAATCTTTATCGATAAAACGGATCGGGTGAATATGCAAATGTAATACTTATATTTGCAAATGTAATATTAAATTAAGAATAAAATGTTTATTTTGTTTGTTGAGGAGGGAATAAAATGTTTGTTATTTATAAGGAAAAATATAATACTTTTGATGATAAATATAATACTTTTTTATTTTGATGTAAAAGTATTACTTTTTTCATCCAAAGTATTATATTTTTCCTTATAAGTAATGTTGCACTTATGGAGGCAAACGTGATACATTTGATGAAAAAATATAATATTTTTACATCGATCAAAATGTAAATGTATTTCATTTCTCCCATATAAGTAATAATCATTTATTCCTGATTTAATATTACATTTGCTAGTATAAATATTACATTTCATCTCGATCTGATCTGATCCGTCTCACTGATAAAAGATGTGAGACGTCTGTCATAAGTTTTTGCCATAATAATAGAAAGACAATGATTGTAAATTGGTAGTGCCAGTTATTATTGGTTCAATCCTATATGCGACCAATAACCGTATAGTTTATAACACCGGCCATTTGACCGCGCACTCATGATTTCTAATAAAAGCGCTACAAATTTTATGAAAGCACATTGTAAGCATATTGTTGGGTTACTTGTCGACGTTACGTTGTCGTTATACTACACATCCTTATTTATGTGATAATTGAGTATTATATTAAGGGAAAGACCCCCTACCCCCAACGAGTAATAGTATATTCCCTTACAAACTACTTCATACTATTCATAATGTATATGCGATAAGGAAGTCCACAACTATTAATTGAGGTAAACCAGACTAGGTTGTCTATAGTTTTTTTTTTTTTTTTTTTTTTTTTTTTTGGAATACTAATGATTTTATTACAAGGTAGTATATGTTCTATACTTTCTCAAACTATTGCAGCCCATAAAGTCAATATCCCATCACCGGGGTTCGATCATGTGACCTTCCCTCAAGGGAGTCACAGAGGTGTCATCTAAGCACAAGGTGCTTGACAGGTAACAAGAAGGTCAATAAGTCGCTCTGATCATGTAGTTGATCAACTCAAACCAAGAATACCAATAGGCCGCTTTGTTGAGAGTCGAACTTATAACCTTGTGGTTACTAAGTCAACAGACTGGTCAACTTAATAGAGCTTACCAATTTAGTTGTTTTTTAATTGGGTGGCCTAATTGCATTTCTTAGTGTAATTTAGTAGTTCACGTAAAAAGTGAAGATTGATCTAATCAATCTATCTGGGTAGATCAACGATTGGGAGTTATTATTGAAAAATAAGGGTAAAAACGTTTAGATTCTTTTTAAAAATGTTAAAAATTTAAAATTTTTCAGTAACTATAAAATTAACCATGTATATTCTTTTTATTAAAATCTTCAACTCCTAACTGTAAGAGAGATTTTTAAGCTCATACCATACATAATTTAATCCCTGTGATCCAATTAAAGAGAAAGATTGATTTTTTCATACGAAAAGGGGTTCAAACTTCCGATATCTAAGGAATGAAACGAAAAGGGGTTCAAACTTCCGATATCTAAGGAATGAAAATGCACGACCATTCACACCAACCAAGCTGGTTTATTGACCCATGAATCCATGACAAAATTGACTAATTCATGGGTAATTAATGAAAACAAATAAATTTTTTAAAAATTTTATTATTATATAGTGATTTTAGTCAAGACAAATATTTGAAATTTTTCTTCTTCTCTTACTTGATCAGTGACAAACAATCCATAATATTTTCCTTTTTTAAAAGAATAATTACTAGTTGATTCATCCATGATATGATGCACTTAATGAGGAACTATGGTTACTATTGTAACATGAACCTGTTAATTTTTAATAAAAATCTCACTCTTGCAGAGCATACCTTGGCCTTCTCTTTTATAGTCTCTCTCTTTTGCTCTTCCACCTCACAAAACCCACCCAAAATTTCCAAAAAAAATAATAAATAATAAATAAATCACTATTATAAGTGCTGTAATATAAGGTCCAAAAGGGTTAAAATGTAGTTAGCCCAAAATAAATGTAGCAATGCTCTTCGAAGAGTTGCTATGAAATTTGCAATGTCAGTATAGTACGTAAAAATATTTTGCCAAGCACCTTGTACTCAGTTAGTACATTTGTGACTCTTTTTGAAAGAAAGTCACATGATTGAATCTCCAGTGGTGGTGAAAAAAAAAATATTGAACAAATACTTGTTTTATCAAGATCTTCCAATTAGACTGGCCTTTTTATTTTGGATCGAAGTTGGATACACTTATGAAAGATTTAATACCCAATATAGTCCTTGACTATAGTGATTTTACTCAATTTAGTCTTAAATGACTTTTTGTGCTTAATTTAGTCCTCGACTTCGATAATTTCACACAATTTAGTCTTTTGTTAAAAATTCTGTTAGTTAAGTGTTGAAAATAGGGTCATAATAGTAATTTCTCATCCTTCATCACATTTTGAGATGATTCATTCTTCTTCGTCTTATTAAGATCCACGCAAAAATACAAATCTTCGTAACCAAATCAACTTCAACCCTAAATAAATAAATATTTGCCTATAGTTTTTTTTTTTTTTTTTAAATTTAGGTTGAAGTTGATTTAGGTACAAAGATTTACATTTCTGCGTGAATCTTAATAAAGGGAAGAATAAGAAATCATCTCAAATGCGATGAAGGATAAGAAATTACCATTATGACCCTATTTTTAACACTCAACTAACATAATTTTTAACAAAGAACTAAATTGTGTAATACAATTAAAGTCGAGGACTAAATTGAGTACAAAAAAGTTATTTAGGACTAAATTGAGTAAAACCACTATAGTCGAAGACTATATTGAGTATTAACTCCTTATGAAATCACTAGATTTTAAAGATTTAGGTAAAAAATCATAACAAGATATACGGATTAAAAGAAAAATGTTGCGATGCTGCATTACCCTCCTAATTTATTGAAAATATTTTCTTCCCATCTACTAATGGGAAGAGCAAAAGAAGCCACTTTAAAAACATTGAATCCCATCATGCTTCCACCAATATAACCAACTACATAATCAAGTAAATTACTAAAGCTGTTATACACACAAACTAACTGGTGCTATGCAACCACAACTCTTTTTTATGACGAGAAAAATTCGCAATCACTATTGGATAGTGTGCACGGGGTAAACCCCACCTTGTAACCCTATCTAGCATAAGACCACAAAGAGACAAACCAGCATAGGTTGTCCATAACTAATCAACTCAAATAAAAAAAATAAAAAAATAAAAAAACCCAAAAACCCATAGACCACTCCCGTTAGGAGTTAAACTTGTAACCTTATAGTTACCAAGTCATGACCAGCTTGGCAGGGTTGCCCCCAAGATGCTCACAACTCTTGACAGAGCAGCAAGCATCCTCCAAGCTAAGAATGAGCTCGAATGGGAAGAAAGTCACCAGCTTTGACTTGGAAACAATATTTAAAGGCATAAATGAGGATAACAAGTGTTCACATTCATAATCCAAGCAGTGGTCATGTTCATGCATCTCCACCAGTTTAAAATTACATATGATAATGGCAATTATTTCATTACAGAACAATGTTGGTGAATTTAGAGTACCTCTTTCCACAGATAATGTGGCAATGACAAAAATATATCCCGAAGAGATCCTGCAACAAAGTGAAAGTGACAAGTGATTTACAATGACATCTGGGTACTAAATATGATAAAAGAAGACAGTATTAAAGACCAAGAAAAAGCAGAGGATGGTAGCCACAAAAGAGTGAAAAGACTAAATACTCTAAAAAGCATATGGGTGTTGCGTAAGTGCAAAAGTTTAGACATATAAACACATGATGTTGGTTGAACTTGTAATAAGAAAACATCATTCTGAAAAGAACAGGATTCATAGTGTAGTTGAAACTAAAGAAACTATAATCAGTAACTATCTTCATTAATTTTTTAATTGCATCAGTGGCGTTCCATTTCTTTAAATCCTTTCTTGTGTGTACAGCATCTGTTTACAAATTTCCTAGTCACAATCTGTCTGAATATTTTTGGCACTTGTTTTCAATTTAAAACTTAAAGTAAAAGGTAGTCGTGCTTTACTGCTATAGACAAAATTGTAAACATTAGGGGGAAAGTATAATCCCACCTAGAAGATGGCTCATGGGTTTAATATTGCATACCTTCCCCTCCCATGGTATAAGTGGATTTCTAATCTTAAAATGATGTATATGTTGAAGTCATTGCTTTTTCCTATGCCTTTGTATTTAACGATATTTAAACTGTTTTGTTGATAAAAGACCAAAAATGGTCATGCCACAATAATACTAGGACTAAAAATAGATGTTCTGATAAAAAGGATTTAAAGTAGACTGCCACCTATAAATCTAGGACCAAAAATGGAATTAAGTCATTAATAAAAATAGCAAGATTTACTAAGTTCTAAGGATCAAATGATGGAAGAACTGGTCTAAAAGTCATTTAAAAGAGACAACACTTTTTCAAACCCATAGTAATTAGTACAAAAATAAACCACTAACCAAGAGAAACCAATGATGCACATTACCAGAACCAAAAGGCAGCCCCCACCAAGTCCACCAACTCATTCATCATATCAACTCAGTATTTCCGCATGAAACCATTAGACTCTTGACTTCAATGAGCAAAAACAGTGTCATTTCGTCTGGGTGGTCTGTCAGGAATACTTCCTGGCTTGAACTTTGAAGCCTCATGTCTAGCAAGTTCAGGAGGCACAGGACTGTTGCTTTGAATGAGCATTTGCTTAAGATCATAGAAGACTTCTGAGTCCTGAAGAGTCAAGAATGTTGTTGCTACACCAGTCTTCCCAGCACGCCCAGTTCGACCAATACGATGGGTGTATGCTTCAATATTATTGGGCATATCATAATTAATTACATGGGCCACATCAGGTATATCAATCCCACGTCCTGCAACATCTGTTGCAACCAACACATTATACCTCTTTGTCCGAAATCCTTCAAGGCTGATTTCCCTCTGTTCCTGTGACTTTCCACCGTGCAATGTTGTCACTCTATAGCCTGCCTTATCCAAATTCTTAGAAACAGTATCAGCCTGTTTCTTAGTGTTGATAAACACAATAGCTGTCTTGTCACCAAGCTCATCCAGTAATTTCTGCAACCTAAAGGTTTTCTCTGATTCCTTGACCATGATAACATGCTGGGTAATAAGGTCAGTAGTCTTGCCAGCAGTACCAATGGTAACAACAACAGGGTTCCTCAAGTACTTTCTTGCCAGCCGTTCCACAGCAGGTGGCATAGTTGCACTAAACATATATGTCGTTCTATATATCTTCTTCTCATCGAGTTCTTCATCCTCATTCTCTGGTTTCAAGTTGCTAGAAGGCATGGCCTCAAGTACACCAACAACTTGTGGTTCAAAACCCATATCAATCATACGATCTGCCTCATCAAGAACAACATAATTACACTGGTTGAGAACACAATATCGTCTCTCCAGGCAATCAAGAAGACGACCAGGGGTTGCAATGACAACCTCACAACCCTGTCTAATCCTAAAACCTTGCTCTTCAATAGACTGCCCACCAACAATAGAAACAACCTTAATACCCAAATAATGTGCAAATTTAACAGTCTCATCCTCTATTTGTTGAGCTAGTTCTCGTGTGGGGGCCATAACAACAGCATATGGACCCTCTGCCTCATTCTCTTCACTCATAGGAGGAAGCCTCGATATATAAGTCAACATAGGAAGAACAAATGCAGCAGTTTTACCTGAACCAGTCTCAGCAACACCAATCACATCCCGTTGCTGAAGTCCAAGGGGAATTGCAGCCATTTGAATGGGAGAGGGGGTCTTGTAGCCAGCCCTCTCAACAGCCTTAAACAGCTCTGGAGTTAACTTGCTTTCTGACCAGCTCCTCATGGGGCGAGGAATCCTGGAACCTTTGTAGGAGATATTGAAATCCTCCCTGAAGATTCTCCAATCTCTCTCTGTCATTTCCTCAAGCTTCTTCTCAGACCAATGGCGATCCACTCTCATGTCAAAAGTATCATACATATCAGCAGCCTGCTCTTTCTTCCTCAGAGCAGCTGCTTCACCTGGAGTCTCCTCAATACCATCCTTCTTGCGGATCTCTTCGCGGAGCTCCCTCTCATTCTTTGCAGCCAGCTTTTTCTGCTCCCTCCGGTCCATCCCAGCTCGAAAACCACGGCCAAAAAGCAGTCTAGCCTCATGAGGGTTTTGGTAGAGTGAGTTCATGTCACGGGAGGTATCCTCAGTGTTCTCCCAATCGAATGAAAAGCGGAACTTCTCACTAGGCTTAATGACTCGTTTCTTAGGTTTCTTAGAGCCCAGATACTGCTCCTTGATGGAATCGAGCTCCTTCTCCCGCTCTCGCTCAGCGAGTTTGTCCAGTCGAGCACGCTCCCGTTCTTTGGCCTCATCCTCGCGTTCCCTTTCGCGCTTCCTGCGCTCTGACTCGCGGTCCCGGTCACGCTCCCTGTCTCTTTCACGTTCTCTATCCCTCTCGCGATCCCGCTCCCTATCCTTATCGCGGGAGGAGCGGTGGTGATCCCTATCGCGGTCGCGGTCGCGATCATGATCGGAAGAGGGCTTATTGTTATCTTTAGCCGAAGAAGCAGCGTCGGTAGAAGGGAGTCTGGCTTGTTGCAGAAGAAGCTCGGCGCGGCGCTTTTGCTCAGCAATTTCTTCCTGGCGGCGCTGAATAGCTAACTGCTCTCTCTGCGCTTTGGTGAGGAAGACGGGCTTCTTCGCGCCATCCACTTTACTTCCTAGCTCATCCAATGACCGACTCATATCGTCTTTCTCTGTAAACGATAACGATGGTTTCGATCTGCGGCTTCGAAAATTCTGCTTCAGCAAACAGAACTGAATGAAGTTGATGATAGTGCGAAGGGATTTCCAATTTTAGGTTTCGAAATTCCGACGACGAGTGTATGGATCGCTTGGATAACAGCACGAGGGGAAACAATGAACACCAAATAAACCCTAGAATTCCCTCCCTATTGGAAAGAAGATACTGATTTCCAAACCCGGACCCGATTTGTGTTCTCTTTTCGGGTTCGGTTTGTCCATTTCTTAGAGCAAAAAGTAAAAAGGAGTATTAGCAAAATGACAGTTTTAGTTCACATGTTTAGTATTGCTTTAGTATCAATTTCAATCTACGATTATTGTTTTAGTGTTAAAATTCATCACGTTGATGGTTTAAGACATGCTGAAATATGAAATTATTAAGAGTATTTTTGTCTTTTTCCGAAATAAGATTCCAATTTGAACATGAATAAAGAGATTTAAGTTTTGAGATCAGTCTTAATTCGCAGTTCTCCTCCTCAAATTAAAGTAGGATGAGGATGAGAATTGTGAATTGGATCGATCTTATGGTTTAAATTCTTTTATTAATTAATACTCAAATTGAGATTTTAAGTTGAAAATGACGTAAATATATTTAAAAATTTTAGATTTCGGCATGCTTTAAACGAATGGGTGATCGGCGTGATGAATTTTGACACTAAAATAATAATTGTGGATTCAAATTGGTACTAAAATAATAGTCGTGAACAAAAATTGGTAAGAATTAAACATGTTGACCAAAATCGTCATTTTATTAATACTCCTGGGACCAAAATTGGTATTTGCTCAAATATTGTTAAATAAACTTGTTCTATACTAAATATAAATTTGCCATACATTAAAATTAAACCTAAGTATATATACTAAATATGTCACAACTTGTCTTCTTTCTACCTGATTTCATGAACATAACACATGTGCCGCTTCCCATTGATGTGTGAAAGTTTGATTAGCAAAGAAGAAATGTTCGTTGGTTGAATTGCTTGTGTTCTTCGTCAACTAATAAGTGTTGTAGATGTACATATGCGGAAAAAAAAAACCTATGAGGAGACTTTTACGAAGAGAAATGAAAGGTAAAAAACCAATTTATTTTTTATGGTATGATAATTTTGATGATTTTATGTCCATTTTATAGTCAAGATATCATCAATAATTATTTGTTATTGAGTAAAAAACTTGTTAAATCGATATGAAGACAAATAAAATATTATCAAGGGAGGTAAGGTTGGCAATAATATTGTTGACATGCTCCTAAGTATAAAATAAAGTGCATGATTTTAGGAATTGAGGCCTTGGGGGTAAAAGTACTTTTGATGAAATATTAAGTACCATGTTTTCGGAGAGTCATACCATGAATGATGAATCACGATTCACTTTACAAGGTGGACCTGAATCTAAAATACTTAAATGCACAATTTACATATTAAAGAGTTAATTTCATTGTTGGTCCTAGATTTATAGGTGGCATACACTTTCAATCCCTTTTAATCAGAACATTCACATTTGGTTTTAGTATTATTGTGTCATGATCATTTTTGGTCCTCCGTCAATAAAATCGTCGAAATGTCGTTAAATACAAACACATTTCGGCTTTCAATTATGAATTTTTTTCAAAAAAAATAAATATAAAAATATAACGGGGTCAACTCACTTTGTAAAAAAATGATCGAAATGTGTCTGTATTTAACGAAACTTCAACGATTTTGTTGACGAATGACCAAAATTGGTCATGTCACAATAATGTTAGGACCATATGTGAATGTTCTGATAAAAAATGGACTAAAAGTAGACCATCACCTATAAATCTATGACCAAAAATATAACTAACTTCGTATTAAATGTTCACAATTTAATTATATACCGAACGTTCACAATTTACCTACTAAATATTCACAATTTACTTTTTACAAAGTTATAAACATTCAGTATGTAAATTGTGTATTTTAAACTCGGAGACCCGGGTCCACAAAATAATTTGTCCATCTTTTCTCAATAGGCCTAATCTAACAGCTAAATAAACAATCCATCCATCACAGCATTTAAGTAGTGGCCCAAACTTGAAAGTTGAAATATATAAACATGCTTATCTAATTTATGCTAAACATTATCATTCAACAATGTAAATACCATTTGATGTCACGCATTGCAAATTATGCCGTGCAACCGAATGCACCTTGCAAGGTGCATACGGTTGCAAAACGGCGCCGTTTTATTAAAAAAAGACACGGCTCGCTTAAAATTAAAAAAAAAAAAAATTGGATGGCCGTTAGCGGCGTTATTCATCTCGTATTTGATAGTTTTGCGAATTTTGGTAGTTTGGCGTTTTGATTTTAGTATACGCAAAATCGCAATCGCAATAGCAATCGCAGTCGTTTTCCTGATTTCTTGTATGGATCATATGATGGATGAGGCAGTAGATCAGAGAGATGAAGCAGTTGATGAATTGCATACGGTTCCAGGTTATTTTGCATTTGGTTTTTTATGGATTTGTGATCGTTTGCGATTATTTTGATTGTTGCAGTGTGATATATTGTTTAGGTGTTTATATTTAGTGTGATTGTATACAACGTATGTGATGTTGGTCATTATAGTCTGAGATCATTCGTAATTCTGGGTGTTTATGTGTTTATGGTTTTCTGAATGAACGAAATATATATCCATAATGTTTGAACTATATAACCAGAAGTTGTGAGCTATATATCCAGAATTATAATAGTATATATCAAGGATTTTGTGAACGGATACTCTGTTTTGGATTGTATATCCATAGTTATTGAACTTTATGTCCAGAAATTGTGAGCTATATATCCATAATTCTAATACTATATATCCAGAATTCTAATACTATATATCAACTAATTTCTAAACTGATACTCTGTTCTGGCTTGTAACATTATGCAGTCAGTGAAGATGTTGTTGTTGATTCATCAAGTTCAGATCCAATAGAGTTAGACATTGATGGTTCTTCTTCAATTCCAGGTCTATATGTAGTTTTATTTGCTCATAATTCACAGTGTTCAGCGTTGTTATATTTTCATTCTTTTTCCATGAAAAATGTTATTCCTTTTGTAGAGCATGGCTTGATTTATTCGGAATTATATTTTCAATGGAATGTGTATTATTTGTTATACTTGAGGTTATATATTGCATTTGCAGTTGATGAAGATTTGGTTGGTGTTGTTGTAAGTAACGGGGTTGAAGCTTATGAGTTGTATAACAATTATGCATATAGACTTGGTTTTAGTGTGAGGAAGGGTAATCAACGGTGCAAGGTATATAGTAAAACAGTCCAAATGAAGATGTTTATGTGTTCTAAAGCTGGTTTTAAGGTTAAGGCAAATGCTGGTGTTAGGGCATATTCAAAAATTGACATAAGGACAGGGTGTGGTGCATGTGTTCAGTTTGACGTGGGTGAGGATGGGTTGTGGACGGTTACAAAACATGTCAAAGTGCACAACCACGAGTTATGTGCTGTAGACAAGAGTCATCTTCTTCGTTCACATAGAAATGTGGGTGATAATCAGCTGTTATATTTAAAAGATTTGAAGAAGTGTGGTGTTGCAATGGCAGATGGTATTAGGTTTTTGAAACATCAAGCAAGGGGGTCTCCATTAATTGGTTTCACTAATCGAGATGCTTATAATTCGATTGCTTCCGATACATCAAAGCTTTTGGATGGAACAGATTCGAACTCATTAATTGAAATATTTAGGAAGAGGCAATCGACTGAGTCTGATTTTTTCTTCGATTTTGAAGTTGATTGCGATTCAAGACTGTGCAGTTTTTTTTGGAGGGATGGTCGGATGAGACAAGACTATGAGTTGTTTGGGGATTTGTTAGTGCATGATACAACATATCGCACCAATAAATATGATATGATTTGTGGCCCTTTTGTAGGGATGAACCATCACTGCATGAATGTAATGTTTGGATGTGGTTTTTTGATGAATGAGATGATAGAATCATTTGTGTGGTTGTTTAGAGCATTTTTAAGATCTATGAATGGGAGGTGTCCACAGTCTATCATGACAGATCAATGTGCATCCATGGCTGCTGCTATTTGTCAAGTGTTTCCAACATCACGTCATCGTCTTTGCATATGGCATATTGGTGAGAATTCGAAGAAGCATATCAAGGCGTTAAGGAATAATAAGGATTTATTGGATATGTTTAACTGTGTGTTGAAATACACAGAGACTGAAGCTGAGTTTGAATTTTATTGGACAAGGTATGTCCACTATTTTTTTTTATTTTTTTCATTCCAGTAAATGAATTATGGATATTTAGTATTAGAATTATGGATATATAGTATTAGAATTATGTGAACATGTAGTAGTAAAGCATGACACTTTTCTGATTGTTTCTGAATTACATGCATTCAATTTATGGATTTATAGTATTGGAATTGTGGATATATAGTAATAGAATTATGGATATATAGTAGTAGAATTATGGATATATAGTATTAGAATTATGTGAACATGTAGTAGTAAAGCATGGAACTTTCTGATTGGTTCTGAACATATGTCTTATCATTTTCAGGTTGGTGACTGACTATAAGTGTCACAAGAATAGTTGGATACAAAAGTTGTATGATTGTAGGGAGAAGTGGTGTCCAGCATTCAACAAGGATTACTTTTCAGGGGGCATTTTATCATCGCAAAGGAGTGAAACTACTAATCATTCGATTTCAAGAAGGCTGTCTAAGACTGCGGGTCTTTGTGATTTTTATTCATCATTTGTTAGTGTAATTTCTGAATGGAGAAGCAAAGAGAATGGTGAAGATTTTCGTTGTGCTCAAGGGGTACCCACTATGATGATGGAGCACGTGAAACTTCTTTTACACGCTAGAGAGGTATATACGATTGAGATATATTTTTTGTTTGAGGAACAGTTTATGAAAGGCAATGCTTGTCATCAAGAAATGGTGTTGAATGATGGTTGTCAGTTCAAGTATCATGTATGGCGTCCAGATATAGATATTATAAGGCATGAAGTAAGTTTTAAGTTGGCAACCTTGGACATTTCGTGTAGTTGCAAGTTGATTTCCGAGTTGGGAATTTTATGCTGCCATTGTTTACGTATTCTTCATATACATTGTGTTTCAAGTATCCCTAATAAATATATCATGAAAAGGTGGACTAAAAAGGTTGCTGATGGTAGGGATGTGAATACTGGTCCAATGT